CTTTTATTAGTTTGGTCCCACCCCCCACCCCCCGATAGCTAAATTAAAATCTAAGCCTCAGATATAAAAGTGAAAACTTAAAGTTAAGCTTAGAACAAAGTGGAAGTAAGGTCCAGGTTAAGTTTTGATTCAGGCAAGACAACTAATCTTTTCCAAGTTCAATTCAACAGAAGTTACTTTTATAGGAACCCGAAAGTTAAATTCAACCGTTTTCGCAAGCCAAAACACCACACTTACAAAAGCCATGTGAATTGGCTTAAGTAAAGAAAAGTACATTAAAACGGTATATTTGCAACTAAGTCCAGAAAATCCTTCAATAAACCTGTCTTTAAATACCAAAGCAAAATGCACAAACAAAATCATGTCTGCACACGAAACACAGTTCAAGATTTGTGTTCCATGAGAGTTGAATTCTGGGGCGCGGATGATCCCAACCCTTATCCGATTCGCCAAGAGGAAAGACAATTTTTTATTTCTGGACGTCACGTGTTATCTTCCCAACAAGAAAGTCAATTAAACTGCCAGTCCAAATCTGGCACACTTTCAAAGATGTTGCTTGAGCAAATATCAGTGTTCATACTTATGAGTTTGAAAAACAATAATTTTGAAAGAAAAGAGAAAGAAATTATACATTAACTAAGGGATTAGCAGGTAAGTAACAACAATGATGATTAGACACCAGTAGGTTTGAGTTTGGAAAATACACGGTGCATCTGTAAGACTATATAAACGTTATTCTATAGTGAGCATAACTTTTACCACGCACCACCTTCTGCAAGTATTTTCAGCTTTGTAACAGCTCTCGCCAATATAAGTGGATCCTGGTCCAACATTAGAAGATTGCGTGTTTTTTAAAAACAAATGATCCATTTTTTTTACAACCGACATTTATCTTAATAAGGAGCTTACTGTCACAAGATGTGAAAAAAAAAAATTCGAAATTCGAGTCTCAAAAATACACACACTATCAAACCTGGAGGGTTTCTATAATAGTTTCATTTAGTTTATAATTTTACGCTTACTGGTTTGTTTTAAAGCCACATTGGATTATCTACTGTGTCCACCGCAGGGAATCGAACGCCGTGTTTTATCGTTATAAGTCCGTAAACTTCCCGCTGTCCCACCAGGAGACTTTACGTTTACTTTAATGCTAGAAGGTTTATGTGAACGCGATGTTCTAAATTTCAAAGAATTAAAAGTTATGGAGGTCATGTGAAAGTTTGTTGTTAATCGCCAAGCTACACAATAAGCAATTTCTGCTCTGGCCACCGCAGGTATCGAAACCTGATTTTTAGTGTTATAAGCCCGCAAACTTACCGCTCAGCCACAGGAGGTTGGAAGTTTTGTGAAACTATTAACTCCAAACAAGAGTTCGCCGTTTGCGACCTGAAGGTAATTAATTCGGAACATTTACCACAAACATACAAAGAAATATTTTTAAATATTCAACAATGGTTTTAAAATTACACTGCTAAGCCTAATAATCGTGTTGAATACTGAA